AGTTCTCACAAATGATGAAGAATGTGAATGAACATGTTAAAAAAAACAAGAAATAGAAAAAGATGAGAACAACTTGTGTTTTATATTTTATGACGGTATTTTGTATGTGAGTGACAGTGATTACATGACAAGGGAAAGAAAAGAAAAAGATAGAAAGAAAAGAGTAAGGAATATACGAAGCAGATGTATGAAATAGAAATAGAGAAGTTGAGGTATTTGAGGAGAAAAGTCAGTTAGTCGATTAGAGACCAAGCCAAAAGATCAAAATGCATATGTCTGACGAATGAGTCAAGACAGAGAAAGCGTGTCAAGAACACATATCTGGGCACAGCAGGGCTTTGAAACCCAGAATATCTTCATGGCAACGAATATTTGCCGGAAGCCTGTTCCAATACACGCTGCCCACGAATTGCATGGACGCTCGAGATGCTGGTCCACGAACAAATGGAATTTGGAGAAGACTTGAGACCTGGCCACGTGTAACACGGCGTGTGCTTTGCTCAAGATCAGGTTCAGCGATCAACAGAAAGAAAGGCGAAAATAGCATGCTTGCACTGGAGGCAAGGCATCTATGGACAAAAGCAACAATATTGAGCTTAAAATGATGGATTAGTAGAGAAATATTTAATCTAGAAATAAGACGTGCGGTCGGTGTTGACGTGGGAGCTGAAACACAGCTCTGACTCCAGCCTTGCTGGTCTTCCCCAAACGGTCGAGAAGCTGAGCTGTGAGGCTTGGGTAGAATGCTGCTGAAGCATAACACAGCTGGCTGTTTCTCATACTGGTGTACCACGATCGTCGAAATAATGGGTCTTTCTGCAAAGATTACCAGTCATAATGTAAACAAACGTTTTGGAGCCAGCGGCTTTACACTACAGCCACAAGAAGGACAATGCGATAATAGTGGTTGCGACTTCGGCGATGATGTTTTTTAGGAGTGGTTTTGCTCCCACACTGGAGCTGGCGCTATTCCGCCGACTTGACTGACACTTGACTGACTCACGACTACCATCACTAGTCAAGTCGGCGGAATAGCGCGAGCTCCAGTGTGGGAGCAAAACCATTCCTAAAAAAAAGGAGGACAATATAGCTGTCTTCCTGAATATTTTATTAACACAACGGTTTAAAATGCAATACACAATACACTGCACTGCACTGCTGCACTGGAGACTACACTGCTGTACTGGAGACTGCACTGCTGTATTGGAGACTGCACTGCTGCACTGGAGACTGCACTGCTGCACTGGAGACTGCACTGCTATATTGGAGACTGCACTGCTGCACTGGAGACTGCACTGCTGTACTGGAGACTGCACTGCTGTACTGGAGACTGCACTGCTGTACTGGAGACTGCACTGCTGTATTGGAGACTACACTGCTGCACTGGAGACTGCACTGCTGCACTGGAGACTGCACTGCTGCACTGGAGACTGCACTGCTATATTGGAGACTGCACTGCTGCACTGGAGACTGCACTGCTGTACTGGAGACTGCACTGCTGTATTGGAGACTGCACTGCTGCACTGGAGACTGCACTGCTGCACTGGAGACTGCACTGCTATATTGGAGACTGCACTGCTGCACTGGAGACTGCACTGCTGTACTGGAGACTACACTGCTGTATTGGAGACTACACTGCTGTATTGGGGACTGCACTGCTGTACTGGAGACTACACTGCTGCACTGGAGACTACACTGCTGCACTGGAGACTACACTGCTGCACTGGAGAAGAAATTAGAGGAAATAGTCAGGAAGTGGTAAAAAAAAAAAGCAAACAAAAAACAATGTAGCTGTAAGTATAAGCATTTCCTGTCAACATGCATGAGTCGGGTACGAGTATACTGTAAAACCAACGATTATAAAATAAAGCACACGACGAGCTCTATAAATCATCGTTTTTACGTTATACTCATGCTTGTCGACAGGTAGGTCTAGGAATGCTTGCAGCTAAATGTGTCCTCCTTGTGGCTCGGATTCATAATGTAATACCGCTTTTGCCTTTGTTGTCTGGGCCACGCCTGGGTTTGCAGGTCAAGGCCACAATTAATTATTGCATAACTGACGTATCATTAATCGTGATTCGACATTTCCTAGATCACGGATCAAGAAGAACTTCCAGTTCCACACCCGGAGTCGAAACACACATCGTTTCAGGTGGCAGGATGATTTCGTGCTGTCTCCCTAGTTGATAGTGCACGTTCTATCCTGTTGTGATAATTATATAAAGGCCTCTTTTACGGGCAAACAGAATACAATTGACAGTGGCATGGCGAATGATTAGAACACAACACCAAAAAATGAAAACAATTGTATGTGTGAAAAAATGCCAAAAAACGAGAAAAAAACAAAAAACACCAAAAAACCAGGAAAATACAAGGGCACTGTCCTGACCACCATCGTCTCCAAAACCTCACAGCCGGCCCTCCGAGATTGCCAACTCTCGCAATGCATTCACAGGACGGTGATATGACGATCATCGGGCACCGCGGATGCACATGATCACCGACCGCAACAATGCAAACGCCAGTCGACACCGGACATACATGTATGTCATTGTGTCATTCTGTTGTGATGCTGCACGTGGAGCCAAATGATTGCGTGTCATCAATCCTTATAACCACGAGTGCCGTGGATGGCTGGAAAGAAAAGCAGAAATCACAGACAGAAGCGGTCATGGCTCAGGAACTGACTCAGAAAAGAGGGGAACCAGTCAGTGAGTGTTGCCCGGTTTTGCAAGTGAGTCCTGAGACGGAGGCAGCACCGTCTGTCTTCACCTGGTGAAGAAGAAGTATGTACTGTAAAACCTGGTTTAAGGTGGCAGACTACCCAAAAATTCGCTGAAAAATCGAATTTGTCAATTCATATTGAGTGCTACGTCAGTTGAAAGAGCATGAATAGCTGCAAATTCTCTGAAAATTGTGTCCCGATCTGACTGGCCGTTCAAGACTTATGGCCGAAAATGTGCCCTTGCAAGGAAAGATTTTTTTGTTGCATGCTGTCATTTGTTGGCAGCACTGTATTTGAATGTGAGCAGACCGTGCGCAACTTGTCGTATCATGGAAACACGTGAAAGTGTGCAGAATTTTGCTCCAAGTCCAAAAAATCAGGTTTTTGAGCCACGTATTGGGCTGCACGGCGGCGGGCGAAGCTCGCCGCCGTGCAGCAGGACTTTTGCCAGCACCCTCGTGACGTTGCAGATACGTGGCTTGATTATTGTAGTTGACGTTGATTTAGTGACTTTGGCAAGTTTGAGTCGTGTCAAGAAGTCAGGTAGGATTCAGTACTAGGCAGCAGTGACACGTGAGTGGTAGTCTTTGCCGGTTTCTGAGGGTATCCTGGATTTGGTGTGCAGCGCTGTGGAAATGGCTTGCTGTGGACGTCCCAGCACTGGATGTTGTATCAAAGGTACGACCTCGTAGCACGTGCTAAACCTTAAAAAAATTCAAAAATTGACTTTGGTCTGTGGGAGTGTGTGAGAGAACGCCCACTCGTTCCGTTGTGACAGATACCAGGGCCTCGTTGAGGGGCCCTACCCCATCACCCATGGCTGCTTCTGGACTTGTTCTAGGTTTGGGTCCCGCGCACGAACAGAATGAGCACGAAAATGTGAAAAAATTGAAAATGCATTTGTGTGGCTCCTGGGTGGCTCGCACACCGTGGCACTATGCCGGAAATTTGAGTGTTTTCGGCCTGGAAAGCCTGTCAGTGAGGCGCAAGAACTTGTAAATCATGTCCTGAGGGCCAGCATAGTGGCAGGAGTGTGTGGTCAAAATTTCACTCAAATCCATTGAGAAACACCAAAGTTACGGTCAATTGAATGCCGAAATTTATGGGTAGGCTGCCCCCTTAAGCGACCACCCCACGGTGCAAGGAAAAGCGGTCGTTAAAGCCAGGTGGTCTTTAGAACCAGGTCCCACGGCGTCTGTGTAGAACTGTCCGTGCTTGGAAAAACGGTCGTTAAAAGCAGGTGTTCGCTAAAACGAGAGGTCGCTTACACCAGGTTTTACTGTGAAGACCGAACAATGCAGCACCAACCACAACAATCCATATAGGCCATGGCATGATGCGCTCTTGTTTGAGACAATCTTGACGATAACTATCGGTACTCTTACTGGCGATGGTGCCATCTTGAGAATAAAGAATTCAAAAAAACTAGCTCGAGGATCGAACGAAGAAAAAAAGAGCGTGCTCCCAGCAGGGCTCGAACCTGCGACATTCACTAGCTCGAGGATCGAACGTAGAAAAAAAAGAGCGTGCTCCCAGCAGGGCTCGAACCTGCGACATTCACTAGCTCGAGGATCGAACGTAGAAAAAAAAATAGCGTGCTCCCAGCAGGGCTCGAACCTGCGACATTCGCGTTATTAGCACGACGCTCTAACCGACTGAGCTATGGGAGCTCACGTCTGGGGATAAGTCAGAAATGGTAACAGTCTTTCTTTCCTGCATAGCAATCAAGAGGGCGATGACTTCCTCAGCATTCACCTGTTTTCCAGTAGGGCTGTGTCAAAAGTAAAAACATCAGGCCCGTTTTACCATGCTGAACTCTTGTGGTTTGTGCATGAGGAAGGAGAAACAAGCCGGAATCTTCTACCTGGAGAAGAAAATCTAACATTTCTCTCTTGTTGTTTCTGCATGAGGAACGAGAAACAAGATGGAATATTCTACATGGAGCAGAAAATCTAACATTTTCTCTCTTTTTGTTTGTCTGTTTCTCTTGTTGTTTCTGCATGAGGAAGGAGAACCAAGCCGGAATATTCTTCCTGGAGAAGAAAATCTAAAATGTCTCTCTTGTTGTTTCTGCATGACCTGGAGAAAACAATCAAAAATGTCGGTCTCTCTTGTTGTTTCTGTATGAGGAAGGATAACCAAGCCGGAGAAGAAGTGTTTTCTTCTTGGCTTGCTGATGGCTGAACTCTCGTTGTTTCTGTATGAGGAAGAAGAAAACAAGCCACAACATTCTACCGGAGAAGAAAGAAGAAAATGTTTCTGTATGAGGAAGGAGAACCAAGCCGGACTATTCTTCCTGGAGAAGAAGTGTTTTCTTCTTGGCTTGCTGATGGCTGAACTCTCGTTGTTTCTGTATGAGGAAGGAGAAAACAAGCCACAACATTCTACCGGAGAAGAAAGAAGAAAATGTTTCTGCATGAGGAAGGAGAACTAAGCCGGACTATTCTTCCTGGAGAAGAAGTGTTTTCTTCTTGGCTTGCTGATGGCTGAACTCTTGTTGTTTCTGTATAGATTCTTTAACTTAGTTTAAGGATTAAGGAGAAAACAAGCCACAAAATTCTACTGGAGAAGAAAGAAGAATCTAAAACTGGCCATCCCAAACCCCGACCACCATCCCCTCCTGGAATGATTACTTTTATAGCCCATTCTGGCTCTGCACTTCACACCTGAAATGATTGGTAGACCGCGCTCGGCCAATCAGAGTTCAGCAAGTGTTTTCTTCTTGGCTTGCTGATGGCTGAACTGTTTCTGTATGAGGAAGGAGAAAACAAGCCGCAAAATTCTACCGGAGAAGAAACACTCGCAAACCAAATAAGAATGCATATACTCCTGGGCCCCAGCAGTGATTGTTATCACACAAACACACAAAGTAGCTTCGATGACAAAATATACGCACACGCACGCGCGCGCGCGCGCACACACACACACACACAAAATACAATGTACTTGTTATGCATGTTTTCCAAAAGACAAGGAGATACGCGTAATGGATCACACCGTCAGATAGAATAAATAGAAACATCTGAAGAAAACACACTATGACCAATGTTTCCGCTCACCAGCAATGGACAAGGAAAGGAATAATCAGCAGATACAGAGCCTTCCACCGCTCGAAACGTATCCTAGCACAACACATTCAGCAGACTGGACTCCAGAGGGGGATTGGGCAGAAGCTATGAACGCATGGCGACATGGTTGCCATAACAACGGGTATATCTATCTATAGATTGTGTTTTCTACAGTTTTAAATATTTGCATAGGAATCTTTGCAAAAAATATTGACATGGGTTTTAGCAAGACAAAACAGGACAGGGGTAAAGATTCTCAAGGGGATCATCTGACAGCAGAATAATCACACTCCACAGATATAAGTACTTCACACATCATTACGGAAGAAGATATATGCGAAGGAAGCGGCGCACAGATTCTCAAGTCAAGAATCTCTTGCAAGCAAACACATTTCACAACAAAGCATTTGTCTGTCTTATCAGCGGGGAAGACATCACCGAGGGTGACATTGCACACAGCAGCGCTGTACATAGTCTGAACGTCACGGCAACAGCATCATGTCGCAGTCATGGCTAGCCACTGGCACGTTGTAGCCGGGGCAACAGTACACACAGCAATGTACTGCCTACTCAATGACATCATCACTACATCATCATCAGCGTCATCAGGAGATAGCGCGCAGGTCATGGCCTACAGCACTTCCAAGCGCATGATACGTCCGTCGGAGTGTAGTCCGTGGACTTCACGATAGCGGGACAGGTCTTTGCGCGTCACGATTCCAACAACCTGCATGCAATGAAGACGAACAACAGAGGAATGCAGAGCCATTTCACGAGCCGAGTCTTTGCGGTACAGTTCAAACCTTGTCTACTCACACATCAGTGTTTTGCTGCACAGGAGTATAAGCTGCACCCCCATTTTCTTGCCACGAAATACAGACCCCATTTATCACCATTAATTTGATCAGCGGATTCTAAGGCACACCCAATTTTTAGGGGTGGATTTCGAGTGTTCAAGGTGTGGCTTGGGGTGCGTTCGGTTGGTACGATCTAGAACAGGATCGAACAGCTGGTGCACATGGAGCAGCCTCATGGCAACCAAACGGTACTCCGGAAACAGAGCACATTTTTTTGTGAAAAAATGTGCCAAACTTGGTGCATTCTTCATAATGTGTATGGGTCACCATGGTCACTTTGTACGGTACAACGAGTCCAACCCAAAAGCGTATGCACGTGATCATTCGGGACCAAAATCGATGTTCCCGCCAGGTTTCACTGTGAAAAAGTGAAACTGCTTGGTCTGCTCCGGCCTCGAGGCCGAAGCAAGCAGAACATGTTTTGGCCGACCCAGAACAGGTGCAGTCCCAACCAAACGCGCTGTTCTGGTGAATCCTGTTCTAGTTCGTACCAACCAAACGTGCCCTTATACTCCGGAAGATACGGTAAAAAAACCTAAAAAAATACTTACTCGGAAATGCTCGTCCACAACAACAATGTGCCTTAGTCCCAGAGCACGGAACGGCTTGAACACGTGGTGCATCGTGTTTTTCTGCGCACACAGCATGACACAGGGAAAGTCAAACGAAAGAGCTGAAACAAGAGCTGGACAGGCGACAAGACTACCTCGGATACAGGCGTAACCATGGGACCCATGCGCACGACGACACGGATGATGGACGGCCATCTACCCCAGCCCGGACCATAGTCCTGTGAATGGTACTAAGCCGGTATCCTCCCTATCTCTCCCTTTCTTGCCTCTTTCAA